AAATAAATAATTATTGTTTCACGGTTTCTACTTGTTTTTCTATTTCCGCACGCCGTGTACTCAACTATATATATATAAGCGATTGCGCAGTCTTGAGGCACGCTACAAAAATACAATACATACATTATACACAAGTGATGTGTAATATAATATAATATATATGCGATGAAAAAAAATCAACAAGGCCGAGTGATAAATCTTTTTTGCCGCGATAAATATTTTATCCTCCGCTCGAGAATCGCGGCTGTTGGTATCCTCGCCTCCACTGTTGTTGGTTTCGCCGTGGAGTTTTTGTATTTTAAAGGCGTATATTTGCGTGGAATGCAAATTCAAAGGACTTTGCGAGCCCGAGAGAGGTCGGGGAAAACGAAAAAAAAAGGTCAATCATAAATCACTGCACCGGTCTGTTATGCATATAATACGCGCGGCGTCTTATATAATACAGTTATATCGAATCACCGGCCTTTATACATATTATATAGTTCGCCTGCAGTGGCGGTTCTATTATTATAAACACACACACATATATATATAGCCATAATGCCATATATTTATATAGAGGACGGGCAGGGTTGGCTTCCGAGTCCTTACATAGTAACGGTTATTAGTTTACGTCTTCACAGCGTTAGTGAAACGTCCAGTAAAAATTCAGTGAGTAGTGACCCTTCTGTCAAGGTAGATATTATATAATACAATCGTTAAATCATAACTTCAGAAATATTAGATTTTGAGTTTGAGTCATGAATTATGATACAACCAAATGTCCCTATATAAGTTTCGTATTCATATATTTACATAAAATAATGTATCATCCAATACTGATAGTAGTTATTAATTATTATTGAAACACATTTTTATAGATAAATTATCGAGATAAAAAAATTGAGGATCTAGGTTCAGGGGGAACCCCTTAAAAGTTTCTAGGCCTCTCTTATGATAAATCTATCATGGCCTCTCTTTTAATCAATCGTATAAGTCCCGAAGTATTTACCCGTATACGAACGTATTTTGAAATGCTCGTCTATATAATATACTACAGTGAAACGCTTGAGAGTCTAAGAACATCGTTTTGATTTTCAAACTGCAGTGGTAGTAGCCCATATGACGAATAATAGTATATAAATTTCTTTTGAAATATTTACACTATGTTTTGACACCCGCGAGGAGGAGGAGCTGAATTCGTCGTCTCTTGCAGGATCTCGTCGGTTAAGGTGGCTTCCCGCAGAGCATGCCGCCAATGAGTACCTATAAGGTTTAACACCGCGGCACAGATCGTTGTTGTACATACAAGCAGACCGCGCGTCGTATACCTACTTAATACCATGTTGTTTATTGCGGTAGATTATAGGATGAGCCGCTATTGTTGTCATTCCGTTTTTATGTACCCCCGTCCCATATTTTTTATTTCGAATTATTTATCGTCTTGTAATAACACACACAGTATAATATTATGTATTATACAAGGTGATTCGTTTGACGAAAACCCTCGAGAAGCGTATTATAATGATATTATGTTGAACATTATATATTTTTTGGTATTCGGGCGTTTCAAAATATCCGAAGCTTATCGTTCTTATCGTCTCTCATATCGCGGCGGCGATGAACGCCGTCGTCGGCGACGAACATTTCAAACGCGCCGAGGAAAAGACGTGCTTCAATTTTCGAATAGAAAAAAAACGGTTTACCTTCGGCTCGTACACACACCCTGTAGGATCGGAGCATGTACACTTTAAATTATTAAACAGTTTTCCTTCTTGGCGTTTTTTGTTATTTGAAACGCGTGTTACGTTAACAATACGATAACGCCGCTATACATATTATATACACTTACAATATATATAACGTATTAGGTACCTGATGTTTTGTGTACGACGACGCCGTGCGACGGGGAGGCGGCGGCTGCAGCGGTCCATTGTTACAGGGGCCCGCCGTCTTTGGTTTATTGATTTTTTCATTTAGTTAATTTACAGGAGCTAATTTGACGTTGTGAGGTCGCCACATAAGGACATGGTCGTTAAAGTCGTCTCTAGGCGGCGCGCCGGGAAACTCTGTCTCTCTGTGCATTATATATTATTATTATTATTATTATTAAACATAAATGCACTACGAGCGTATTATATCGTAACGACCGTCGAATTCCGTGCGTCCTTTATTGAATTATAATAACACGACGTGCGTATTTGTTTACCCGACGTTCTTAGGTTTGGTTATCTATACGATCCGATTATTATTATTATTATTATTATGCGACTAACAACGAAATTTTCAAAAACATGTCTGTGTATGTGGGTGCGCAGATTTTTTTATGTTTTGTTTTTGCTCATTCGTAATTCATCAAATATCTGGTTATTGATTATCCATTTATCTCAAGATTCACATTTTTATTAATCATTTTGAGTTTATTCACGAATGGGATTGGAGGGCTCTGAGTTTTCGATCGAGAAGATTATGCTAGACTACACGCAATAAATATTGACTACAATAATATATCAAACATAAATCCATAGAGTATATTATGCTATAAAGCTATGCCCAACAGTTGGAAAACGTACGAAGCTTCTTACGCATTATTATAACTTCTATAATTATCCAGAATGTATTTAAACTATTTAATTACTATAATTGTATTCATTATGCTATAATTTTTGAGTACCTATTACCTACATCTTTCAATCTAAGAGTTAATTATTATATTAAAGTATAATATTATGTATTATTATCATTATTATCAAACTTATTATGATACGGTTTTTTTATTAAATAATTAATTGATGGGAAACTGAATAATATTTATACAAATTAACTGGGCGTTTGCAGAAATATTCGTATCTTTATAATTATTTTATTGTATTATATTATGTTTATCATACCTACCTAATATAATAGTATACATGTATGATATAAATTATTTTTGAAATGGTGGGGGGGCACAAACGTTTCGGCACATTTAGCTGTACCTACATTATTATTAGGTATATGTGTATTATTGAGTATACCAGCTAATAACCGTAAACAAGAGTATATATTTTGTATCGTGCGTGTCCTTATTAAGAGTGTATATAGACGTAATACTGATGATCACTCATGTGTGTTTTGTGCGCGTTCGCTTTAATTTATTTCTCCAAAAAAAATATAATTTCTATATGCATCCATGATACATTTATCTGTGATACGACCATCTTCTATTCTTACCACTAGACCGTGACGGCCACACGCGTGAGCTTCGATGTCAATACTATTATCATGAATATTCTATACATATATAATTTATATATTTTGTGATACGTATATTATACTATCGTTAAAATACGATTTTTTTACGGCCGTCATCGGGTCGTATACATATGTAATTATAATATACTAATATATGTATATCTGCATATCCGTCACTTGCGATGATTTGATATTGGAAACGATTCGTCTTCGCTCGAGCGTCATATTATAAAATATAAATACACATGTGACATATGTATGTATAAAGAACCCAAATAAACGTGATTTCGATTACAAGCTCACATATGCAATAATAGAAATATTATTATTATTACTCATAGCTATATAGTATATACATGTCAAATTTGTTGTGAGTATTATGTATGTATATAAACGACACACCACACACAACCGCGGTCATACGTCTGACACTTATTACCTACACCAGACTACCAGAGGCAACCCGATGACGCAATTTGAACGATCCTTCTTTCGTCTGTAACGTGTCTTAAAACTCAAACGTGAACTTTTTTATCATTTATTACAATGTATTAGTATGTGTGTGTGTGTGTGTGTGTGTGTGTGTATGTGTATGTGTGTGTGCGCGTGTGTGTGTCGCATATGTACACGTAAACGTCCTACTGTCCTTTAGGTAGATTATAATAATATATTCCCACTGTCAAAGCATGTATTTATAAATACCATAGCTACGTCCGTTGACGATTTGTCTTGCTAAGAATATCTTAAACCGTGCACACATACATAATACAATTTCCCTAGTATGTATATAATATACTTGGTGTAATTTTTAAGTAAAACCAAGTAAAGATATGCCTACTAAAAATATGAAATATTATTCGCCCTATTAGTGTGTTAATATATTATTATATATAGGTATTCAAGTAACGCTTTGTACCTATAAGGCTATACCACTGGCTTACTAAGAGTACATAGCCTACTGTCATCAGTAATCATATAAAATATTTGTTGGTAAGAGTTTTGCTTTTCACAAGTACATATTCTATACACATGTTTCCACGAACCAAAATATTCTCATAATATACTACAATGCTATTACCCTTACTCGCTTCCTATTTAGATAATTATAATTTATCAATGTGACAATGTCCAACGCAGCACGCATATAATGTACTCCGTGTCTCTGTACAAATTAAAACTTAAATACATACATACCAGCACGGCAGCACGTAATAATTTTATAAAGAAAAACTATTTAGGCTTTATATTATATTATTAAGGGGGGCAGTGCCACGTTGACAATTTTGAAGCCGAGGAGCAAACATTTTATGTCTCCCCATTCATCTATATATATAGACATATATTAATATTATATACATATATATTAACCCGTTTTAAAACATACGAGATTATTAATATTTTGATAAACGTAATAGATGACCATAATAGTATAATAGTTATTGAACATATTAAACATATGCAATTTTACAATATTTTCCCTCCCCTGCCCCTCTCATAACCGTGGCTCAGGTGGTGTGGAATGTAGATGACGGGGAAAGGGTGTAGTTCATATATAATATCATATAGAAACAATAGATTTCTGCAGGATTTTGACAAACGATCTCCGAATATTAACGTAACCTGTTGGCAGTGGCGTGTCAGCTCATAATATTATTATATACTTAATGCAATATTATCCGAACACTGCTAAATGATACAATATAATATACTACCTATAATATTTAATTGAATACAATGACATTATTATATATTTTTAAACTAACGTTATTTTGACGGCTGTTTCGCAGAACAAACACGGCGGTCCCAACGACGAGACCAGACACGCCGGAGACTTGGGCAACATCCAAGCGGACAACACTGGTGTAGCACAGTTCTCTTACTCGGACTCTCTCATCTCGCTGGTCGGCGCCCACAACATCCTGGGTCGCGCCGTGGTCGTGCACGCTGACACCGACGACATGGGCCGCGGAGGGTTCACCGACAGCCTGACCACCGGACACGCCGGTTCCAGGGTTGCGTGCGGAGTCATCGGAATCCTGTAGGCACACTGCACAATATATTCGCGCAATTATTAATATTATTATTATTATTATTATTCGCTTAATTTATTATTAATTTTATACACCGTGTGTTACATACATGAACGCATTATAGTTATCGGGATATTTGTTTTTGCAAGGGTGTCTCTTTGTATATTAACGTCTTTGCAACATTTCACCCGCTCGGCCATCTTCCTTCGCTCTCTATAATATTCACTATATTACGGTTCTCTGTCTCTGTCTCTGTCTCACACTCTATCTATCTATATATCTGTCTGTTATTTTCTCTTTTTTTTCAAAACGTCTCACGGTCAATACGCTTTCTTACATAATATATATAGTATTATAATTTAATTATTTATTTGTAATTTATAACTATTTATATCAGTATATATTAAATAGAACAATAAACGCGGGTTTTATCTTGCATTTATTTTAATTTCTGTATTTTGAGCTTTAACCCCCATTAAGAGGTATACCTATATAATAGGTACACACTACACATCGCATTGTACTGCAGTGATACGCACATAGGCGTGCACAGACTTAAGTTTCAGGTACAATAATATAATAAGTTGATCGATTAAAAACAATGATTTTATGAGAAACAATATAATATTTATGAAAAAAATAAAATAAATACTATTTAAAAACTGAGAAATATATTAGGTGATTAATACTATTATATAAATTACTAGCAGCTATTATTATATGACTTCGCCCTGGGTAAAATTAATATATCTTTCTATCATTTTCCGTTTGGATTAAATTAAAATAAATAATAGGAATTCAACCTAAAATGATTAATTTTATGATTTTTCACTTTTTAATTCTGTACATATATCTTTTATATAAACACAAAAAACTGGAGATAGGATTCAACAAAGTTGATGTAAATTTAATATCGTTAATAATATTGATATATATATATATATCATCTTAACAGGAAAAATATGTCCAGAATAAAAAAAAAACAAATCATAAAAGTATTCATTGCAATTATTATGTTCATAAGGATTTGTTTTTTTTTAAAAATATATTTCTAAACTTGTTTATATTTCTCCTAATTTACTTTAGTAATAATATAATCTGTAACCAATGGTATTATTTAAAAAAAAAAATATTCGATATTTATGAGCCAATATGAAATTCGTGTGTGAGCCACCCTATAATATAATAATAATAATAATATTTTATTAACGCAATAAAATTCCAATTTACAATAATATCCTAATGACAGTACATGCGTGAGTTATATTAAAAATGTATACAAATAATAAATAAAAAACATATACAAAATATATATTATACATATAGTGACATATAGTAGGTACCTAGTTAAAAAAAAATAGGCTTTACCTAAACACCTTCTAAAGCAATCTGTTAAAGAGTCTATATAGACATTACTTTTATTGAAAACCGTCCACGAGTTTTTGAATCTATAGAGAATAAACAAAGGAACATTCATTTTTATAAACAATATATTTATATAGAATATAAGATTAAATCTGGCACATAATTATGATAATATTATAGGCTGATTGTTTCATTTATTTATAAATGAGTTTTATTTGAATTCCGTCCCCATTCACTGCAGATAAAAAATATCCACTTTTATGCCAAAAAAATATTTATGTATGCAAAATGTACACACATGTACCTTTAATAAATGGATACTGCACTCAACGGCTTTCAAACGTGCAACATATGCTGCACCTGTACGCACGCCTATTGTGATATCACTATTATAGGTACTTACGTTTCCTGCTTTCTGTATTCTGTGTGTATTATTTTTGTGAATTTGTGATTGCTTTTCCGCACACGTATGACGGCGGGCGTTCGTTTAAAACCTAAAAATATGCTCCAATTTTTTTTCTTAACGTCAAGTTTTTACCGACGACAATATCCAAAATATTATCTATTTAAATCACCGGCAGCGCTGCGATTCCTGTGACTTTACATACACATTAGTCAGATGAAAAAGCACTCTCAAAATTTCAAGTGTTAAATATTTTATTTGTTTTTACTACTATTACTTTGGGTGGGGGTGACACAGTGTCTTCTAAGGTTTAACAAAAACGTCCATTATATTATTCAAGACTGCTTGAATATCAAGTCAGCAATTCGCGGTACTGTCTAAGACCAACAGCATTATTATAAAAATAGTTTTTAAAACACGCTGAAAGTTTTACACAGCTATGTACGCATGTATAATATAATATTATGTGTGTATGCTTTTAACGATAAAAATATTAATATTTTATTTTTATATTTCAACTTGTCATGGCTATATTATGGTACAGTCCGTTAGATATACCATTATACCAATCAAATATATATATGTATAAAACAATGACCAACACCGGGTACGCCGTGCTGCGGCGTCATAAAAAAGGCTTAATAAGTTTTCGGGTCGAGATCGAGGGTGTAGTGGGCGATTTAAAAATTAAAAGTTTTTTCTACCATCATAAATAATAGCGAGAGAAATATATATGATTATTACCTACTGTTGCAGCGCGAGCGTACATTATATTATAATAATAGTCTTCCAAAGTTTTCGGTGAAAAAAAAAAATAAAACACTTCAGTTGCGGGTTAGGGGTTGTATACGTTATAGGTTTAGGTTGTTTAGGTTGTACGTGGGGCACTACTTTTCATTTTGAATCCGCTCGTACCGCCTACACACACGTATATAATATAGAATGCACGACATACTTGCAGCTATATTTACGCGTACAAAATATAAAATACCTGTAGGTATATAATATAATATTAATATTAGGTACGTGATTGATGCGTATACAAAATAAATCCCATCATGTCTGCTTGGATATGAGACCTGACGCGGGAGAAGAAGTGTGATAACTAATAATAGTAATAACATTTTATGTTATCTATTTATATATCCATATCATAAGTCGTGTAACCGTCATCGTCTTCCAGCGGTGGCTCATGCTGCTGTGCGTTATTTATATAAAGTCATCGCATGTCGGCAAGACAACCGCACGGTTATAATATAACATAGAAATCCAGAGGATCCAGAGATCCACTGTAAACTGAGCCCTCGTCGTAGTCCCGATTCGGACTCGTTTCCCGTAGACTGAAGTTAAGTACCTAGGTATTCTGAAATTAAAAATTAGTTTTCATATAGAAGAAAAATCGTATTAGTACTAAATCCATACCAGAGTAGCAATAATAGTGGCGTGACAGAGATGGTGGTGCGCCAAAAGACAATAGCTGCAGGTATATATTATAATACTATTATTATAATAGTATATAATATACCAACTACAAGAGGAAAAATATTATCTAAAAAAGGGGGATAGGGGTGTGGCATCGGGATAAATGAAAATACACGAATACGAGTGAAGGTGTCTATTGAAGGGCCCTAACAACGGCGTTTATGTACATTAAAATTTTAAAAGAAAAAATTGAGCATTTTTCCAGTGGCGAAAGGGACGTCCACGACCGCGTGGTATATAGGTAATATATTATAATATATACATATTATATTTATGCATGTTTTTCTGTTGCTTATAAATGCAATTTTTTCCATTCGAGCTCTCGCCTATTTAGTGTATACAAGTATTACCTAGCTATACCTCCTAGAAATAAGAGAAATACAAAGTACAAAACCTTAAGTGAATATATTGTTATACTTTTATAATAATATGCTGAACGGCGTTCATTGATGAATAAAATATAGATATCACGCGTTAGTTACTTTACCGATAGGCGATAATAAACAATGTCCCTATATACTATATAATAATTAATGCCCTTTGATAATGACCCAATCATCGTGCATCCTATATATATTTATCAACCGTCGAGAAAATGAGCTGACCGCTCGTCAATGTTAAGCGACGTAATTATATTTATTTTTCGAATGCGATTATAGACATTCGCGTACATCATTATAATTACAACTGTTTTGAAACTAGCGATTCAAACGATCACTTCGCGTGCAGACGTCCATAAACGGTTTTTGGACGGCGGCGACAACGACGGATATCATTTTAATGATATATAGATAATAGGTATATAGGTAAACACGTCGGAGTCGACCGATTAAACTCGTGCACATTCGGTGTGTTTATTATAATAATTTACTCGTACTAAACGCCGATTTACGTGCGGCCCGTGTGGAGTTACCGTTTTAATATATATGCAGCCATGCAGGGCGATTCACCTAGCATATTTATCCCCTCCGTTTTTTATTTAATTAATGCGTTTAATCTAAAAATTATGATTTTTGAAAATTTTAAATGACTTAAGACAATATTTTCAGATGCTTAGATTTTTCAAAAATACCATTTAAGAGTGTCTCCCATAAATAACTATAACATAGTATGTAGACACAGCTACAAACTTTTTTTAAACAAAAGATAATAAGGGGGCATTTTTATCGTAAATTGTCAAGCCCGTGATTTTTTTTTTAAATTATCATATAGGTACTTAAACAAAAGTTCGATCTCTAACAATAATCCTTAATAATGGATTCACATCAAAAATAAAATAGATGTATTATATTCAGTATAGTACTGAGTAGTGATACTCAAACAGTTTTTACAAACATATGAGATTGCTCATACTTGAATACTTACTAGAAGACAACTACGGTAATTTTCAAATCATTATTGTCCATTTATCCCCAACGAACCAGTATTAGTAGAGTGTAAACTGTAAACTTTATTATTATGGCATACAAAACTATAAAGGTATCCCTATTATAATCTAATATATTTCCTTATAATACATGTACGTATATCTCTTACTCCTGTGGGTTCGTCAAATTTATATGTATTATTCTCGTATAATATATTTAATATACTATATTATGTGTATGTATAATATTTATGATGGTAAACCTCTTCGGAATATTATTACGATATTGTTTTATCGGAGTCTTGCGCGTGTCTCTTATCTTTTATTCTATATTAATAGTTTAGAACTTGTTCATAGTTTAAAACAGAACATCCCGTGCGTCTTATACTATACGTT